GTTGATAAAAAAAAAAAAGTAATACAGGTGACTACCTGTACTATTTGAATGACCAAGAGACACAGTGCTGACATGTAGCTGCAGGTCAAGGCTGTGTAAAAGCAAAACAGTTGTTCAATGAACACTTTGGATGAAACATTATAGCTGCTTTCATTGAAAAGGCTTTAGTCTGGACTTCCATTGCAATTCAGACATTTTAAGTGTATTCTCTTTTCATGTGTGAATGTCATAATGTTATGGAATCATTATATGTGCAAGGATTAGACATCCCAATAAGCATGAAAATAATCTTATGCAAATTGCCATTGAAATGAGAGAGAAATGAAGAGCCTTTGCTTATGACATATGGGAAGCTTCCAAAATCAGTCCTTGGTTTCAAATTTGGTTGAATTTATTGAAAAGCAAATAAAAATGGTTTCAGTTTCTTTATTTGGTGACATCCAGAATGCAGCATCAGCAATTTCTCCCTCTGTCCTTGAGACAGACTGAAGTTGCTGCCAACCAAACAAGCCATGCACATAGATTAAAACAGGAGAGGGAGACCTTGAACTGCTAACTAAACAAGGAGTTGACTGTTCTGTCCCAGTTTGGAATGAGCTTTGTCGATTTTCTGCAGGTCGGCTGTGCGACGGTTAGGGTTGCCACCCGTCCCTTAAAATACGGAATAGTCCCGTATTTAGCTGTTAAATGTTGCGTCCCGTATTGAACCGATACGGGACGCAATTTGTTCCGTATTTCTATAAATATCCGATAGACACGACTATCACACACATATCAACACTAATTATAACAATAATAACCAAAATAAAACACAGGATACATTAAGGTCAGATAAATTGTCGTGGCGGGATGTAAAAAGGACCCCAAAGAAAACTACGGCCCGACGCTATTGTAGTTGCCTAGAGACGGACACTATGCAGCTGCGATGAGCTGCTACCAACCCGTGTCTTTTTAAAACGTCCTTGACCCGATGCTCCACCGTTCTTAGAACGTAGGCGTGGACATGTCCCCAGTAGAACCAAAACCTCTCGTAAAGATACAGACGGGAGAGGGAAGACTCAGATCAAAGGCTGAACATGTTAGTGAGGATGAATACAGGCATTTAAAACAAACAAACAAAAAATTATCCATCGTGGCGTGGTGTGCTGGTGTTTGATGGACAGAATGGAACTGCAGACCTGTCAGAACCTAAAGAACCAGAAATCAGCATCTCTTCATCCCTCAATCATCTCCTGAGGCTGAAATAGTACAGAGCATTTTATTACTGATCAAGTTTCTTATTGTGCTTTTAGTCGACTGTTACGAGTTGATTATTTGCTTATTTAATGTATGATGATATCAGCCAAAATAATATAAATGGTCATTTAGGGAAAAAATCATACTAAGAGATTAACAGTAAATACATAAATTTCCTACTTGAAAAGGGTTTGTTAGGACTTTCTGTTTGTTTTATTAGAAAATGTTGACATCTTTTATTAATTTAGTGTTCAGTGGTCATTTAATGTATTATTAATGTCAGACAAAGACCTGCAGCCCAGGGGTGGTTCTAGATGGTATGGTGTACAGAAGAAATTATGCTAAATAAATGTCTTTTGTTAATACTCAGAGGAGGATTATTTTAAAATGTACTTACACAAATGTAAGTATGCTTGAAATATACTAAAGTATATATATTTTTCACTATGGTACAGACGTGAGTGGAGAGACGCACATTCCAGGCTGAACAATGTCTGATTCCAGGCTAAACAGGGAATTATTTTAAAAATGTGTCCATCGTGGCGCAGTGTGCTGCTGCATGATATCAGACAGAATGGATCAAGAGAGGAACACTGCAGACCCGTCAGAACCTAAAGAACCAGACATCCGCTCCTCTTCATCCCTCAGTCATCTGGTGAGGCTACAGAACATTTGAAGTGTTTACATCATAAACTGAACTTTGCTGAAATGTGCTATGCAAATGAACTTGATTGATTGATTGATTGATTGATTGATTGATTGATTGATTGATTGATTGAGTGAAAATTGAGTGGCACACTCTCAGCAGTAGCAGAATTCTGTCATTGCAAACCATTCCAAAGATGAATTATGAGCATAATGCAGCCATGAAGTTAAAGAGGGATTTAATGGAAATGGTAAAAGATATGAACAAAATGAAATACACACAAGTAGGTGGAGTATATCAATACATTTTAAAAGTTGAAAAAAATAATATTTTTTTTCTCACACAAACACTGATCTTATGGAAAACACTAGTATTTATGTAGAATCTCTACTATAAGGTCTCCCTACAAGCAGAAAATACATGCTGTACACATCATCACCTCTCAAGTGAGGTCCAGCGTGGAAGGCTGACCGGATCGGAACCAGTTTCAGGAAGCAGTGAAGCGCTGCTGGCCTGATAGAGATGTCCTGAGTGTAATACTGAGAGGTTAAAGCTTTAAGTTATTCCTGCTTGCTTAACAAAGTCAGTTTTGGAAAAGATTTCCAATGTCTCCAAGATAGGTTAAATGCAGCGAACATGTCAGTCAGACAATGTGGTGGCCGGGTGTAAGCAATCAGATCAGAGACTTTGCTCTCGAATGCTGAAAGTCCGTAAAGAAAGAATCGACATGAGAGTCACTTTAGTGCTCACAAGATCTTCCAGACAAATCATGGCAGAGGACAAAACCTATTTGCTTCTAATGGACTAGTATGGAGAGCTCACTCAGTCTGCTCCTGTCATTGTGCATTTAAAATATTCCTATTAATATTAAAATATGTTAGTATTCATACAAAATATGAATATTACCAAATATATAGCCAAGAGAAACGTTATAAAAAATGACAATAGACTATTGGATGTGAATTACTAAAATTTAATCATACAAATAGATCTACAACCTAAAATCATATTTTAGGTTATAGATGTATGTTAGCGATTCTGACAGTGTTTAGGCCTTGCAGGCCTTCTCTGCAAATACATAGGTAAACATGCCATAACATACTTCACTGCAGACCAAACATGTCCTTTGTCTTAAATTGTCTAATTTTTTTTTAACTAAATAGCTCTTTTATTATTCATATCAACATTCACAGAGTGTTCGTCTTCATCCTCCATGCTTTCTTCATCTTTTTTAGATCTTTGTTCTGCTTCTCAGTTATCCTCCACACCACTGAATCGTGTTGGATTAGGGTCTGCTTGACATCAATAGTTTTAATAGTCATCATAATCATTCTCGTGGTCTTGTGTGATTAAGTGCTGGAAAGACACTGAAACAAAGGGAAACAAAAGAACTTATGAATAAACTGCAGAATAGCAATTGGTTAATTATTAATGCCTGAGCTTGTATCTCTTGAATACAGACTTTGGTTTTGGTCAGATGGTATGAGCCGTTTAGAGCAAAGTTTCCTCCTGCAGCCCAGGCAGAATGCTAGAGACACCAGCAGGACCAGCAGCAGGATTCCAATGGAGACTGAGGAAACCAGCAGCTGTGAAGAGGCTAGAAGAGAAAATACTTGGTCAAAATGTGTTTTATTGTTCTAACATTCCAACTCCTAAAACCAGACATGTTCTACTGAAATGATCTGATAATCTGCTGAGCTGCTTATCTGTTCTCTATGCAATACATTTTCATACCAAAACAATGATAACTTGAGTAAAAGTAGTTTTCAAACAATGATTCACTTTAGAAAAAGCTAATCAAACCAACCTGCACCACCTTCCTTGTTAAAATACTGTGTTAAAATATGGGGCCCCTGAAGCCCTGGAGGGCCTTATTGAATTTGGATTAAACAGAAGTCCAAATAATTGATAATTGATTCATTTTAATTGTATTTTTTGATTTTATGATTTTAGCATTTCACCAGCGATGTTTTCCCTTAACATATAATTACCCAGTAATATTTTTACATTTCCTGTCAACCTTAATATCTTTTACAAAAACACAGTAGGACACTGTTCGCTGCAATTTTTTCTGGAGGAACCCCTGCAACTACTGGAATAAGTTGTAAGGAATCTTAACTTGAAAGAAAAAATGGAATTCGAAAAGACTGACAAAACTTCAAATAAAGCAAAACACAAGACCAAAGTTCCAAATTTCATGACACAACCAGTTCTTAGATTGTGGGAGAAATAACTTTTTTTTACAAGGTGGATACATGGTTTGTATTTTTCTTTTTATAATTGAAATCATCATTTGAAAACAGAGTTTTGTATTTTTTCTGGTTTGGCATGTTTACCTACTAATGTATTAGTTTTGACAGAGAACAGGAATGCACAGTATGTAATTTTGTTTTTAAATGTTTTATTGGCTCTGGTGGCCTTTATTTGATAGTGAATTGACAGGAAAGTGGGTAATGTGGGAGGATCGAAGACAGCCCGGGAATCTAACCTGCGACAGCCATGTTGAAGATTAAGGCTAAATGTGGGTTGTGCTTAACCCCTGCGCCACCACAGCACCCCAAGACACTATGTAATTTTACACAGTATGCAATTTTACTCATTTTGTTTTTTAGATTTAAATTTACTTTTCATAAATTATATTGTTACTTACCTTTAAGAACCAGACTAATTGGTTCTGTCTGAGCAGAACTGAACCTCTGTGTAGTCATGGTAACCTCATACACACAGCGGTAGCTGCCCTGGTGTTCAAACTCAGAAGTTGGGAAGTTAAAGGAGGCTGAGTTTTTGACTGCTGGCCTGGTTTCTCTGATGTTGGACCCAGAGAAGATGAGAGAGAAATCTCCCTGAGGATATGTGGGGTTAATGGAGCAAGTGAAGGAGAAGCCGTAACCCTTGGTAACCTCTGCTCCTCCTGGACCCCAGACCAACCCTGCATTTGGTGAAGTCAGGGAAATGTTGGGTCTTTCCAGACTCACTGTGAAAAAAAAGACATGGACATGGAAATAGAATAATATTATTCCATATAAGGGCATGGCCAATTGAGAAGATGAATCATGGATTTTCTGTAAATATTTATATCACTAAATATTCGCTATTTACACAATTTACTTAATCTTACCATTGAGACGAACAGAGTTACTGAGGGGGGAGGTGGATGTTTTACTTGACATCCTTTTCTCAAACTGACACTTGAATTCTCCATCATGATCCAGGGTCACTTTAGGGATGTTGAAGGTAACAGAGGAGGAATATGATGACCGAGTCATTCTAAATGATCCTGAAGTCTGTTGGAGGATAAATGTTCCACTTGAAGAGGTGAAAGTTGTCGCGGCCATAGAACAAGTGATGCTGACTTGTTGACCCCAGGTGACCTCAGCAGAGCTTATAGAGATGTTGGGCTTTGGAAGGTTCACTGAAAAACAGTAAGTTGTGAGAATTAAATTTTATTCATTTCCACAACTGAATGACACTGAAAATAATAATCTCTTCCTGTCAGTTCATCTATTTATTTTTTGTGGTCAGACAGCCTGGTGGAGACAGTGCCCTGTCCCTTTTGTGTCCTGCTTTATGAACGCAAAGGGGACAGAGATAAGAACTTGCTGGCTTGAATGAATTCAGGGAATGCTCTGTATGGAGAGTTTGGAGAGTTAATGGTCATGCAGTAAAAAAAAAAAAAAAAAAAAAAAACATAAGGGGGGAAACATTTGACTGCAATGCACAGCAATTAGATTCTTGTAGACAAACCCCTGCCTTAGATTTTTGTAACATTTCATATAATTAGAGTTCCAAGCCCAGAGAAGCCAATGCAAGGCATGGCTGTTCGCCAGCTGTAAAGAAGATTCTGTGATATGACATTCCTGTGAGCAGCAAAATACTACTTCTGTGTAATTATAACAATATCAAAGAAAATGTAAGAGCAAAGGATAGGTATCTGATTAAGATCATGTTAATTGCTACTAAGAAAGCTATTAGGAGGAAATTGAGAAAGGAACCTCTTGTTACGAACAGTGGATTGAGATGATAGAAGAACTTTACATCATGGAAAAATTGACATATCTCCTGAGACCCCATCAAACAGGAAAAAGTGGGAGAAATGGGCACTGTTCAAACCTAAAGACAGCAACAAAAAATACAGAAAGAACTTGGAAAAACTAGAGAGGATAAAAGATCTAAAAAAAGAATAGCTCCCAAGCAAAGGTTTTACTTTATTTTTCATAATGTTGGATGTGAATTGTTCATGTATGTTTTATTTGAAAAATGGCAATAGAAACTTGAATGGTGAAAAAGAGGGGATGAGACTTTGTCACAATGTGTTCAGTTTTATACAGTCTTGGTCAAAAATCCAACACCGTAGGTTGTGTTTTTGAATAATTTACTAATGTGGGTCTTTATTTTTAAAACAGCCATGAACTTTTCTTTTCTTTGAAAAACCATTGAATGTACTAATCTAATAAAACACTCATACTATTCTACATGTAGACCTGACAATCTGGGAATAATTTGGTAATGTTTTAATGATTTCTGAATTTTTTACTTTTGTGTTTGTACATTTAGATCAGAATTGTTAAAAGTATAGGAAAACATTTATTTTTATTTCAAATTTTACATACAGTATGTGCAAATGAGACATGATTCATAGTGTTCTTTTAGTAAACAAGGACATCTGCAAACATTTTTAGAATATTTTGATGGAAAATTGATTACAAATGGATTTTTATCATTTCAAAGTACAACTATTGTTATTTGGGCTTTTAAATGGTAGATAAGTATTTTTAATTTAAAAAATGATCTAGGGACATGGACATATGTTTATGCTATTCCAGTTACAGACCCAGTCATCAGTGAATATTTTTTTGGGATTTTTATAACAAACTATACATTTTATATGTTTTTTGTTGTTCTTGTTGTTTTATTGTTTGTTTTTTTTACTTTGTATAAGAAAAAAAAAGACGATTTATTTATTTATTTTTATCAAAAAAGTCTTCGATCAAAGGGCACTGGATTGGGTGTGTTTTGTTCCAGAGGTAGACATTGGAATATTATGATTAGGTATGCCTATAAAAAAAAAAAAAAAAAAGAATTTCAGTTCTTCCCAGAGGCAAAATCTGTTTTACTGCAAAACCATGAGGAGTAAGCATTATCACAACTCTTGGTAAACCTGCCATGAGACCCAGTAAGACCACATGGTTTGGATGGGGGCAGGAGAGTCTAGGGAGGGGAGAGGCAAAGTGGACTTGGTTATACACTAGCATACATAGACTAAATTCACTGTAATGGCAACGCCTTAACTAAATGAGCAGTAACCTACAGATTCCCAACTTGGTCGATGTGTGAAGAGACTAGGCAACAACGGGCTGACAGGACTAGGGGAGAAGTTTGGCAGGGGCGATGCCAGGAGTCTTGGGGCCCCATGACAAAAAATTAAATTGGGCCCCCCTTTCCCAGCTGCGGTTATAGTCTAAGAGCCATCAAAAGCATCACAATTCTAAGGCTTGCAACTGGCTTGCTTTCTTTGGTCCAATACTGATACTAGCACAATATTTACTACTAGTGAATTTTACATGAAACAGTCCACATACTGCATCCAAACAGGTTTCTTAATATTTTTTATTATTAGTTTTAGCTTTATGAAATGTCTCTCTAAAATGCCTGTGACACAGGCAATGAGGCAATCCAGACTTCTCAGAAAATGCAATGTTGTTGCATTTTGTTCAAGTTGCAGAATGTAACTTTATTAAAAAATATGTTTTTTCCACATTTGTTAAAGCTGTCATGATGTCTTGACAGTTTGTTATGAAACAGATAATCTGTGAAAAGATCAATCTCTTCCATCTCCTCCCTGAGCTGCTACTGCTGGCTAAAGAAATGCAACAAAACAACCAGTCAGAACCAGGAGGACGGTCTTAGCGCTGTCAATCAACCTCATTCACTCACAGCTAAGTGTGCTAATGGAAGATTTTATCAAGATCGTTTGATTTTCTGTTAGTAATAAATAAATTGTTTTTGTTTTGTAACTGTAAAAGGAGCAGAGAGACAGGAAAAATGAAATCCACATAGATTTCCTGAAAGGATCTAACTTGTCATTGAACACAGTTTTTTCACTGGGACAAGGGTTACGGGATATGTTAGAACTGCTGCGCTAACATGTCCCGTAACAACTCATCTGTTGTTATGTGTGGTAAGAGGTACAGGGACAAGTTAAATATATAAATATGTTGGGTTTTTTTCCCCTTAATTCATTAAATGGTAGTGAAATGGAGGCAAACAGTAGTTGGTAGCTAAGCTATAATCAATTGGTGGACAGTCTACTCACCTCTCTTGCTGAAAAACTGGACTATAAATTGACTCTCCTGTCTTTTCTCTCTCTCTCTCTTTGAAAGCCTGACTATAATTTTTCTGGGCATCACAGTAACTGCCACAGTTGTTCTGGTCTTCTACTGACTGCTCCTGAAAATGGTCAAGTGCCCTAAGAGGAACAAACCATTTCATGCAGATCCAGGGGGATGTTCAATCCAAATATGGATAAAACAATTTTAAAAACACTATATGATTAATTTTGTAATTGACAGGGCCCCCAATTTTATTCTATTTCTATAAGAAAAAATAAAATAATAATTTGTGGGAGGGGCCCCTGTCGGTCAGGGGCCCTTGGAATAGTCCTAACTTTTTCCCTCTATCTGGCGCCCCCTGATGGGCAGGACCAGGGTGGACTTGCTGAATTGGGCTTGGAACCCATTAAATACTGATTTCAAATCAAGCTTAGCTTTTCTGAATGTTTCTGTATTTTTTAGGACACAGATGGGTGACTAAACTCAATAACCTGACATGCTTTTCTCATGACAAGAGAAAATTTGAAAAAAAATGATATTTACACTTCTGACATTTCATTGTTTACTCAATTTATTTAATCTTACCAGTAAGATGAACAGAGTCACTTCGGACAGAGGAGAATATTTGCCTTGACCGATACTGACACAGGAATTCTCCATCATGATCCAGGGTCACTTTTTGGATGTTGAAGGTTTGAGAGATGGAAGACCATGGCTGAGTCATTCTGAATGAGCCTGAAGTCTTTTGGAGAGTAAATGTTCCGGAATGAAATTGTGTAATTGCAATAGAACAAGTGATGATGACTTGCTGACCCCAGGTGACATCAGCAGCAGGACTAATAGAGATGTTGGGCTTTGGAAGGTTCACTGAAAAAGAGTATTTTGTTACTGAAATTGATCTTTCCTGAATATTGCCAGATATTTTAGGGACCCATGGATGATGGGATTTATTGACTTGAATTTTTTTCTCAAAACTGAAAAAAACCTCCAAAAAAAAAAAAAACACTTTTGATTGTCACTGCATTTTCAAATAAATAAGTTCATCTTACCAGTAAGACGAACAAAGTCACTGTAGACAGAAGTCAATGTTTGGTTTGACATCCTTTTCTCATACTGACATTTGAATTCTCCATCATGACCCACGGTCACTTTAGATATGCTGAAGGTAGCAGACGAGGAATTTGATGACTGAGTCATTCTAAATGATCCTGAAGTCTGTCGGAGGATAAATGTTCCACTGAAAGGTGAAGCTTCAACAGAACAAGTGATGTTGAGTTGTTGACCCCAGATGACCTCAGCAGGGCTTATAGAGATGTTGGGCTTTGGAAGTCTCACTGAAAAACAGTAGTAGTCTTTATTTTATGTGTCATACACCCTTACAGGTGCCCAGTCCACAAGGGGTTACAACACACAATAAAACATATACAAACAAGCAGAAAGACATAGATATTCTTTAAACAAAAAGTATCCTCTTTCTAAGGTGCCAGGCATTCAAAATAAACTGTGCTAACTGAAACAAAAAATACTTAAATAAATAACACATTTTATCCTCATCCGTTAAATAAAAGAAATCTGGATAAACATCAAGTATTTTAGTAAATAAATCATTTCTTAGTGTCAAGTACAAGGGACAATAAAACAATTCACTCTCAATTTCACCCAGATCACACAAAAACATCTTCGGATTTCCTCTGGGACTGAATGAAAACGTCCCGTCTGCAAAGCCAAAGGCAAAGTGCCAGATCTGAACTTTGTTTTTTAGACAAGTTTAATGATACGTATGGCTCAAGGCCATAAGCATCCTCTATTAAAATATAAGTGCATAATTTTGGATTATGTAAGAATATCGACTGCCCACAATTTTTATAAACTTCAAAATAAAACTGTTTAAGTAATTATGTTGAATATTACATCTTAATTTATTCCTATAAGTGTACTGAAAATCTACCTTCTCAAATATCTTCTCCATCTGTCTGGCCTTAGCATAGTATTTCTATGCACATCAAAGAAATATCGCAGGACTCTACAATGAACTTTTTCACTGTAAGGTTGTTGACAGTAACCCCAGACTCCCGCTCCAGAATCTAATACTGGGCAAACACAAGATCCATACAACTCAGTATACATCCTATGTCTCAGGTCACAACCGTATTTGACTGTATTTATAACTGAACCTAGCTCTCTACCAGCTGAGTCTGATTGGATTTTTGTCCCTTCTTCAAATGTTAGATATTCATCCACAGTAAATCCCAAATAATTATAGGTTTTTGTAATGGACAAAGTAGTAGGCCCAAAACAAAATATAAATGTTGTCAATGCTTGACTCAGTTTTCTGAAATGAATAACTTCAGTTTTTTCACAAATTTATCCTCAACCACATTTTGTTACACCAAATGTAACAAAATTTAACAGTTTCTGAAGATGTGGTCCACTTTTAGCAATAAGCAAAATATCATCTCCGTACAGTAATATACAGATGATAATCTACTCTCACTTACTCTCACTCCCACATTTACATTACCATTACCAAGTCATTTATATATAATGTGAAGAGTGGGAAACAGAACATCTCTTTAACACGATATGGTGTTAGAACAACCACCCTGTTCTGTAATCATTTACCTGAACACAAGATTCTGATATGATAAACAGCTTTTATAGAATTATAAAATTTTCCATCAAATCCTGCTTTTAATAACTGAAAAAATAACAATTATCGGTTAACATAATCAAAAGCTTTTTGGAAACACAGAATAAGAGTTTATTAAGCAAGAGCATGCAACCTCGAGCCCCAAGTGTCAATTTGAAAATCCCACATTGATTCTGAGTAACTGAGTAAAAATGATAAAAAAAACAACTAATGTTTTTAATATATATAATAAATATAATAACAAATGGAAGGTTTTTTTTAGCATATTTTAGTGTTTCCTTAAAATAATTGAATTGCAAGAATGAAACTAAAATCAATAATTGTTTGATCTAATTTTCTTAGCATTAGGTAGGAAACGATGTGGGGTTTCTCTTACATCACTTTCCAACAATATCAATGACTCATGAAATAAATTGTTTCCATCTTGTTTTGTCAAAAATGTTACGTTTCTCTTCATTTAAAATCGAACAATAGCAATGAAATTGTATTTCTATAAAAGTGATAAACTTGCTTGAGTACATATTTATCAAAATATATAAGTTGTCTTTAATTTTAAAAGTCAGACAACATTGGTGAGTCTAAAAAAGTTTAATTTACCCAGACAGAGAGTAAAAATGTCTATTTGGATGGTGAAGGTTGCAGAGCCATTCATTAGAGACTCATAATATTTTGTGAAATGTAAAACGATATGGTGTCCCCAGAATGTCCCCAGAGTTTTTGGGAGATTAATGAATTATTTGATTCTGTTCTAGAAACAAATAAAGAATATATTTTAAACAATTGGTTGCACTGCTGAAGTTTCACTTTGTATGCAATTTATTTAGTCTTACCTGTAAGATTAACAGAGTTACTGAGGAAGGAGAATGTTTGGTTTGACATCCTTTTCTCATACTGACACTGAAATTCTCCATAATGATCAACAGACACTTTAGGGATGTTGAAGGAAGCAGAGTTGGAATCTGATGACTGATTCATTCTGAATGATCCTGAAGTCTTTTGGAGAATAAATGTTCCACTTAAAGGTGCAGCTGCAATAGAACAAGTGATGCTGACTTGTTGACCCAAGATGACCACAGCAGCAGGGCTAATAGAGATCTGGGGATTTGGAAAATTTGCTGGAAAATAGAAAGTAGATAGAATAAGATTTAATTTCTGAAAATCTTTGAAAAATTTACCTTTAGAAATGATTTTGTGTAAAGATTGTTATCAAACAAATCCATACTGAGAGACAAATCTATGCCGAGAACCTACAAATACAGTTTAATCTGAACTAGACGACTGATTTTTAGCTGGAACACTAGATGAAGAGTTTTAATCATGAAAAAAGTCTGAAAATTCTGCCACAGAGACACTCGGACATGGATGGGGGACTCCAGTCCTCGAGGGCTAGTGTCCTGCAGCGTTTAGATGTATCCCAGTATAGATGAATTAAATAAAAATACGATATTGGAGAACCAGGGTCCTGATAAATAATAATCTGCATAATGACATTATTCAGACATTTTATTTAGGTGTTTTTGATCAAGGACATATCTCAAACTTTCAGGAAACTACCCCTTGAGGACAGGAACTGCCCATAGGAATAGGAATAGGGTCACCCTAAAAACCAGGGAGCTGATACATGAACAGGTGATCAATGGCATGGAAACCAGGTGAGTTCAATCAAGGGTATGCTTTTTGGTGAAAAATGCTGAATCATTTGATCTCAATTGTAGAAAACTTGCAGACATATGGTAAGAAGCAGCAGAGCATAGCAAAACTTTGCAAAATATATAAAACTGTTGAAGAGTGAAAACTTAAAGTCGATGTAAAATTGATACACTGCTTTCAAAGCTAAACTATGAGGTGATAGCAATTTATAAGGTAAAATAAGTTAAAAAGTCAAAGCTAGCTGACATACTAATAATAGCATGTAAGCTATCACTAGCAAGTTGACCTACAGTAAAATACCCCATGCAGGGTGAAAAACCCAAATAAAAGTTAAAATTAGCCAAAATGGTAAAGCCAGATAAAATACCAATAATAGCATCTAGGCTAGCTGTAGCATGTTGAACTACTACAGGAACATACTCCATGCAATTAGCTAAACGTTAAAGCTAGCTAAACTACTAATAATAGCATTTTTTGTCTATCACTAGCATGTTGACCTATGTAACATCCTCCACTCAATAAAAGTTAAAATTAGATATATAAATAGAGTTAGCTAAAATACTATCAATCAATCAAATTTTATTTGCATAGCACCGTTCAGCAACACGGCATTATATAGTGTTCAATGTTAGTTAAACACTGTGTTCAACTAGCATTGAACACAGTGTTAGTTATATCCACTGATTGTGTACTCTTGCATGTCTTTTTTGTCAGATGTGTTTTTGGTTGATTTTGAATCAAAGTCCTAAAGGTTTTCCCATCACCTACGACTATTTCAGCATTATTTTTTTGTTTCAGAATTGATATAAAGCTTTTCTCACCTGAACAGACCACTCCGGCGTCCTCATTGTGTCCACAGTTGTGTGTCCCAAACCCTGGATGCTGACAGTCAGTTAGAGAGGTTTCACTTCCTGTACAGTTCACGTCATCAAGCCAGATTTGACCAGTTCCTAGACCAAAAGCAACTGATGAAGTGGCACTTAATGCTGAACCACAGGATAACTGTCTGCAGACCACCTGAGCATCAGATAGATCCCAGTTGTCATCACAGATTGTTCCCCATTGGCCGTTGTGGTTGATTTCAACTCTTCCAGAGCAGGAAGTCGATCCAGTCAATCTGATAACAGAGTCTGTTAACAATAATTTTCTGATTAGTGAACACACCATTCATAAATATTTTTACTTTTTGTTTAAATGCTTTTAGCCAAAAAGAAAACTGGCTAATATGTTTGAACATTTAAAACTGAACATTTAAATGCTGTCAGTAAATCATTTTTTCTTTACCTGAACAGACCACACCAGCATCCTCACGATGATTACAGTTGTGTTTCCCTTGACCTTCGTGTCCACAGCTGGTTAGAGAGCCTTCATGTCCTGAGCACCGAACATCATCAAGCCAGATTGGTCCATCTCCTTGACCAAAGTATGCAGAGCCCGTTGCATTGAGTGCTGTACCACAGCCCAGCTGTCTACAAACCACACCAGCATCAGCAATGCCCCAGTCGTCATCACAGACCGTTCCCCAGGTATTTCTAAAGAGGACTTCAACTCTTCCAGAGCAACGAGTTGATCCAGTACCTGCCAACCTGACCGGACCTTCAAGAAATAAAATTCACCATATTTATCTTAATGTTCTAATTAGAATAAAATACCTTTGTACACTACGGGAATAGGAAACAAAGAGAAATCGGCCTATCCTGAGAATGACTTGTTTTTCACATAGTCCTGATTGGTGATTCAAATCATTTTCTGATCAGTGAATACATTATGCATAAGCATCTCCTTTTATTTTGTGTTTAAATGGTTTCAGACAAAAACAATGCTGACTAACGTATGTGAACATTTAAAATTTGTTAATTCAGTTTTTTCTCACCTGAACAGATCACACCAGCGTCCTCATTGTGTTTACACTTGTGTGTCCCAAACCCTGGATGCTGACAGTCAGTTAGAGAGCTTTCACTTCCTGTACAGTTCACTTCCTCAAGCCAGATTTGACCAGTTCCTTCACCAAAAACAGCTGATGAAGTGGCGTTTAATGCTAAACCACAGGATAACTGTCTGCAGACCACCTGGGCATCAGATAGATCCCAGCTGTTATCACACACTGTTCCCCATTGGCCGCTGTGGTTGATCTCAACTCTTCCAGAGCAGGAAGTTGATCCAGTCAATCTGATCCCAGAATCTGTTAACAAGTTACAGATAAACTATAGCATTTTCTTTAGAAAGAAAAATAGCAAATTAAAGACATTACTATTGGTGTCTTCTCTTTGTAACCTGCTTTGCTTTACCTTAGTTATGATTTATTCAAATCCGGAGCACAGAAACTATTAACCCTGACATGTACTTAAACACAGTACATGGGCAATTACACAGATATTCAAGCCAAAGATTTTGTCAAATAGAATTTATATCTGTGTTACACAGTTTGCTATACAATCTTTCTGTTGTGCATTTTGTACCAGCTGCTTAGCTGGTTTAAATCTAACCTCTCAATAAAAAAAGTAAATAAATCAAACAGAGATTTAATGTGACAACCTTTAATAAATAAAAATGGCATCAACACACAACAGCTTTGTTTGAAAGACTAAGTTCAAAATTGCTGCTTTTATAGAATGGGAGAGAAAATGGAAAAGCTAAGAAATACTAATTAAATCCATTTGACTAACTGAGAATCAACAAATGTGATTGCTATACCATACAGGTGCATGACAACACAACTTTGGAGAATCAACAGGTGTTACACACATCAATCTGGAAGATATGAAGAAGCCAATCACTCTGCAATATTTATGGATGGATGGATGGATGGATGGATGGATGGATGGATGGATGGATGGATGGATGGATGGATGGATGGATGGATTTATTCTGCTATGTTGAACATGTTACAGGGTACAGAGCACAAGCATCTAATAAAGAACTAAACATAGTGGCTGCTATTGAAAAAATAATACAAACCCAGCACTGTATTCAAGAAAATGTCAGTACCCACTGAATCCAGAGATACACAGAGGAATCTGCTGATTATGAGAATCAGTGAACACACCACATATAAGCTCTACCTTTCATTTTGTGTTCAAATGCTTTCAGCCAAAAATCTACACTCACTAGATCTGAGCATTTAAAATCAAACATTTAAATATTTGTAAATCATTTTTCCTTTACCTGAACAGATCACACCAGCATCCTCACTGTGACCACAGTCATGTGTCCCATAACCTCTGTGTAAACAGTTGGTTAGAGAGCTTTCATCTCCTGAGCACCGAACATCATCAAGCAAGATTGGACCAAATCCTTGACCAAAGTGAGTAGAACCAACTACACTGATGGGCGGACCACAGCCCAGCTGTCTACAAACCACTTCAGCATCAGCTATGTCCCAGTTATCATCACAGACCGTTCCCCAGGAATATCTGTAGTAAACTTCAACCCTTCCAGAGCATCGAGTTGATCCACGTCCTGCCAGCCTGATCTGACCTATAAGAACAAAATGTAATATGCTTATGTTAATGTTTTGATAAGAGTAAAAGACTTTTAAATACTATGGGAATAGGAAAGAAAAGCTGACCTGTTGAGAATGCTGATGAGGTCAAGACAAGAGTAACTGTAAGATAAAAACTTGGACTGTTATTTTATTAATAGAAATTATGTAAAATAAGACATTGCTTGTGTTTATATCACGAAAGTGATAAAACAATACTATTGATAATAATGAAAATATGAACTTACAGATAAAGCCTGTAAAGAGTTGAAGGTTCCCCTGCTTTCTGTTCCACATAGCTGCATATAGCTTCACTGTGATCTTCAACTGGTGTTCAGAAACACATCTGGCTTTGCACTAAGTTCATTCTTGAGACACTTCCTCTTCACATATGTGGTTTTTAAAATGTTACTCAACTAAAAAAAAAACCACTTCTTTAAACAGCAAAACTGTCCACATTGTCATGAATGTAGATTAACCTGATCCTCCTGCCTCATTTTGAAGCAGCCTTTAAGATTTCATTTAAAGATTGTTTTATAATTACTAGTTGAAATCACAGCCAGTAGATCTGTCCCTGGACGCACAAAGACTCTAGTTAAAATAACATCACTGTTGGACAATGTATCCCACACGTTCAATAAACATGCATAAATACGTAAAAAGTGAGTTGCACATCTCAGATTGTGAGTACAATATTTCTGTTTCTGATAACTAACAGTGCTTAAGTTGGACAGAATTATTATTGTTGCTTTTTAAAATATTTTTAACAATTGTTACTCTTTTATGTGAACCTACATGTTTAGGCTGCTGTTACACATGATGATGATTAAAAATAAAAGCATAAAGTATGGTTTAAACCAATCAAGGAATGAGACACACCTGGGAAGCAATCAACGGGGAAGACGCAGAGACAGAGACTCACAGGAAGGAAACTGAACACAGAAAACCCTAAAAATAAATACACAGAAACACTTATCATGACACTTTCTGCCATGACTGCAAATTCAGCAATTCGACAAGCTTCTGAGTTTCAAAGTATATCTAAAAGTATGATCAAAATCGTTTGATCAAAAAGAAAGCCAAAAAGCTGCAGTTGCATTTCAACTCAAAAAACCAGTCAAGGGAAAAAAACATGCTGAGCCATTTTTACAGAACAAACAGTGAACGGTGCTATGAAGTAATGTAGTGATAGTGATCCTATCTCAACCAGAGATTCAAAATCTGGATCCACACAAACACAACTTCTGGATCTTTCACCACACAATTCAAGAAAGATGTTTTTACTGTTTTAAAAAAACCCTCTTCAGTTCATCAGTGTTTAAACAAGAAGTTGATAAAAAGAGTAACACAGGTGACTGCCTGTACTATTTGAATGACCAAGAGACCTGGTGCATAGTGCTGACATGTAGCTGCAGGTCAAGGCTGTGTAAAAGCAAAACAGTTGTTCAATGAACACTTTGGATGAAACATCATAGCTGCTTTCATTGAAAAGGCTTTAGCCTGGACTTCCATTGCAATGAAGATGCAAAGACGTTGCAAGCGGTATCTCTTTTTTTCTGTGGATTTCATAATTTTGTAAAACAGAGATCCTTAAGACATATGGGAAATCAGAGCTCGGTTTCACAATTTTCTTGTATTTATTAAGAAGCACGTGAAAATGGTTTCAGATCCTTGATTTGGAGGCATCCAGAATGCAACATCAACAATCCCTGCCTCAAAGGCTAACGGCAGACTGAAGCCACAGTCGACCAAACACGTCAACCTCCCATGAACATGGATTACAACATTAGATGGAAACTTCTGACTGCTGCTAAATAGTCAACCTGTTCTGGGATGAATCCCATCAAATTTACAATGAACAATTTTTTCCACAGGAGGAGGGAAACTATGAGGTGTAAAATTTGAGCATCCTAACAGACCTTAATTATGCAGTGAAGTCTTCTTGTTTTCATTGTACTCGACATACATAGTACAGTGTCATCACTATAAGCATGAGAAAAACAAACACAAAATACTTTTTTTAAGGAAAAAAGACGATTTGTGTGCTGGGCACATCAGTAAAGATGGAGCTAAACATTTGATATGTGGTCAAAGTCTTTCCACCATTATCCTCACTGACAACAAAGACACAAGTATTATAGAAGTAAAAAAAATAATAATTTCACTTAAGGGGTTTTTATGTTTTCTTTTGTCAAAATAGACAAATGTTATTGATTATGATTGATTTGTAGAAGCAATTAAAAGGATAAAACATCCAAGAGAGTGAATACTTTTTATAGGTTTTGCATAAACCTACAAGTTCTTGCTAAATAGTTAAGATTTGGAACATTTAATCTATTGACCCAAATGAAAGACTTGAAATACTTTTGCTGCTGATGGTGTTAATCCACAGGACAGTGTCTCAGATGTGTTCAGTGAACTTCACACCAGTTAAAATTTAATGAGTGGAGAAATAATTACAAAAAAGCAAAAGCTCTGTATTGAGTCATCTATAAGTAGACTCATTAGGTTTGGGAGTTCACCCAATGAGCCTACATGTGTTTAATTATCCAGAATAAAAAAAAAATTATAATTATAGCCCAACAAAATAGCCAATAATTGATCCAAAAAGTAATTAAATTATAAACTTTTCACTATTAATTCAGACATCTGCGTCTTGTCGTTCAGATGTAAATTTTTTTATTAAACTTTCTGTCATTAAAATGTGAAAAAGTTATTGCTATGAAACTAAAAAAAATTCACATTTTGCTTTAATTTTGGAAAAAAAAAATATTCTGAGTACTGTTAACTTGCCAATTTTGGCCTGTGGGGCAAAAAGTTTGGTCACAACTGATGTTGGATTGTAAAATATATCTAAAACTTTCATTTCATAATCACTGTGTAAAATGTGAGTACAACGTCTGAGAGTTCCTCATGGGAATGATTTCTGTCACTCGGACTCAAAAGAGGAAGCCTCAAAACCACTTTGGCAAAGTCTACATGCTTTGTAAGCAAGACAGAGCCAGTCAGGTCAGACATTTTTGCAATTGCTCAAGTGCTAAGATAAATACAAAAGAAAACCAGTAAAATCATATGAAAATGGAAGACAATTTATCTCTATTTGCCAATAATGATAAAGAGATAATTATGTATTTACAGCTTTGCTTAGAGTTTAGACTCACAGTGGACATAAATATCATGTGATTTTATTTACAAGAGCTCAAAATGAAACATACAGGGTCGCACAGTCACCCCCTTTGATATTTGGAAAATCTCCCCTAACAAGTTATACATTTATCATGTTTCTGGTATAATTCTACAGGAACTAATTTGAATTGGTTGGTTTCTGAGCACTGACTCTGTTAAATCATCTTTTTTTAAAGGGGTGGTATTATATATCTTTCATATGGATATTGCCATTTTATGGTAGAATGTAGTCTCTATGATGCCTTCAGAGAAATGCTGAATATATCAAACATGTCTTAGTAATTTGATGCCTTGAAATTGAGCCTCTGTCTCTTTAACAAACGCCAACTTATCCCAGTTGTCCTTGTCTCAACACATCATCGTGACAATTTATGCCGCTAACAAAAGTTCTAAGGCACGTTGGACTGAGAAGTAGTTCATATGATAAACTAAGCAGATGCAGTGTTCTGTATTTGCTAATTGATGCTGGCTAGTCTTGAGGATCCGTGTAGGGAAGGTTTGTCTGGGAACTGCAGCCCCAAGCAGGAGCTCTGTGGAAGTAGCACTTTGCATGTAGGCATCCCTGAATGGTTGCCATGAGAGATTTAAGAATTCCTCAAACATGAATGAAAGCATCAAAGGTACATTACGGTTATGTTTTTGATGAGAGAATAATATTACTAAATAAAGTAAAGCTTGAAGAAGTCAATTCAACCGTAAAAAACAATTATGGGTAAAATCGTTTTTTTGTTTTACGGTGGAATTTCGGCAACCCCAGCTGCGGGCATTTTACCTTAAAATCTACGTTTTATTTTTTACAGTGTATGTATAACATCAGTTGCTGTCATTGGTGCTGTAATGTAGCAAATAACGTTTTCAGTCTACCACAGCTTGTCACCAGGTGTTCAATAAAGAAATACCACACTGTAAATCTGATGTTCTCTGGTCAGAATGTATCTGTACATACAGCAAACACAGGCAGCAGAATGTTGTGCTTTTTATATCCAAGATTTTCCTGGTATGTGGTCATGAATAAAACAGAAAACTGGTCTAATGCCTTCTCTTTAGTGTGTGTGCTGGGCTAGATGTTTTGGCAAACTAAGTGAAATCTTGTATAGAGCCTTTCACAGATAAAAATCACAAAGTGCTTCGCACAACCATCAAAGATGAGCATCACATTAACTAAAAGCCTGTCGGTAAAAATAGGATTTTAGCTGCATTTTCAAATAATCAATGGAATTGTCAACATAAAAACAATGGAGGATAATTCCACAACTGTGGTACTTCTGTACCACAGTTGTGGAATTATCCTCCATTGTTTTTCCATTGTTCCAACTGAAACGAGTTTTCAACAGAGTTCATGGAGCTAACAATATAATTTTAAAGCATATGTATAGCTGAAATCACAAGTTTACGTACACAAAATGGTAAGACACGTATACCTTTTATAACTGTCTTAAGGTAAATCAAGCCAAATTTCTCTCTTTTTAGGGCAGTCAGAATTACCAAAACCAATTCTATTTGCAAAATTGCACAATATAAAGAGACAGGATAGGTCAGTAACTTATTTATTATCTTTAAAATCAGCAGTTTACATAGAGAATGATTACTTTCTTTTCAAACAATAAAGGAAAGCCCAGATATTCTGTTCAAGGAATTATTTTCAAATATAGACTTGATGGGAATATCCAACCACCATTTCATTCAGGAAAGAGATTGGTTCTGTGTCCCAAAGATGAGCATATCAAGGTCCAAAATGAGCAGATAGACCCCAGACCTTGTGTAGATGCTGACTGAAGCATCATCCGCCTGCTGTTGCTGCAGGAGGAACTGGTATACTTCATAAACCAAATGGCATCATGAGGAAATAATATTATTAGAAATATTGAAGCAACATCTGGAAACATCAGCCAGGAAGTTAAAGCTTGGATGCAAATGGACAATAACCCTAAGCATCGTGCCAAAGGGGATATAAAGTCCAGTATGGAACTTTTCTAAAACAAAATGTTTTTTTTTACACCTCTGTTAAGTGTAACTATGTCACAGCAGTATAATATGAACAAGAGTCAATGAAAAACACGCTGCTCATACCCAATTTCTTACTGTCTTCTACACTACAGAGTTAAATGACAATAAAACTTTATTAATATTTGAAAGTTCAGCAATCACTAAATTGGTGACACATGACATGCTCACACAAGATTTTAATCCTGATTTATCTTTTTGTTGTTTGGTGTGTGATTATGCTCTATTTATGGGGCCCTTAAGTTGGAAAGGCGGGACAGAAAAAC